CCGTTAGTTGATAATAGATGGCGTTGTACGCGATTTTAATAGATACTTTGATATTTGTTTCTACTATTCGATGATAAATCACGTTGCTCTTACCGGCGTAACAATAAGTAAAAAAAAAATTACTAACACAAATACCACGAGAAGAATGAACAGACCACGAATCTACGACCTTCGGCGCAAAAGTCCGAGGCGCTAGCTACCGCACCACCGAGTCAGTCTTGTCTCATATAATTGTCATTACATTCGATTTAATTACTGAACCCGCTCGCGTGCGACAATTACATATAAAATGCCACGAGAATAGTTTGAATGTTTCTCGTAATAAACGTTGGTCGCATCACGTTGTTCTACGCCTATATTTAGAACGCGCGCAATCCTTGAGTAACAAAAGAAAATTAAATAACAACAAGCGGTTGTTGATTCCATCACGTGGATTTTTATGCCCGTAGGTACATAGGCTCTGCCTAATTCTACCGCGAATGCAATGAACTTAACGTGACTAAATTTAATTTTTAACTGATTAACACTGAATGGCCTAATGTACCATTTTTGGATTTCATCGGTGGGTCAAGGATTTCACGGCCTAGCCTAGAGACAAGTCGTTACTCGAGTCCTATATACATAACAAAGCTTACGACGGATACCTCTTGCTATCCATCTTACGACATGAGGTGGAAGTTTCAAATGTATTGTTCCTTGGCTGCCTCATCCCTCAAACCAGAATGCATGATTGCTCCGCGGCCAAAATATGTAGTAGTATCTACCACACCTACCACTACTAAAATTGCATTACGTCTATATTAATTAATATAAGATGTGCCGACACTCCGTGAGTGATCCGTGATAGTTTCCTTATTTATTATTACTTAGTATCCACTTTTTTTTTTATCTCAAATTGGGTGGCGCATTTACGTTGTAGATGTCTATGGGCTTTAGTAACCATTTAACACCAGGTGGACTGTGAGCTCGTCTACCCATCCCGGAAATAAAAAAAAAGCGCACCACCACCCGAAATGATGACCACGACCACTCTGCCAAGAGTCCATACGACTGAGAGCATCAACCGAGCTGATGCTTAGTAGCTCTTTAGCAAAATGTTATTTTCTCATTGAACAATCAACAGAAAATAATAGCTTCGTTTCTGTTAATCCAACTTAAGCCACTCCGGTCAAGTATTAACTGGATCTCGCCCACAGTTTCCTTTTCTTCTTCACTGGTACAATATTTTTGTCGTATTTAGTTCATTTAGTTCTGTTCTTAGATCATAAAAGTATAAATGCTTTGTTTTAACTCTAGTACTTTGATATGCGGATATTAGCAGTGCTCATCATTCTGCATAATGTACATCCATTACTATACTTAACTCGTAAATAATACAATATTGAATGCGAAGCCACGAAATGTTGCTTCGACCGTACCTGTCCTGATATGACATTACAACATTTTAATACATCACTAGATGGTGTTTTTTTTTTTGATAACGCCATCTTGTTGTCTTTAAAGTGGTTAGTTGCCCTCAATTAAGAAAAATAGTATTATTATTCGCCAATAGATGTCGGGAAGAGTTGATTATTGAAAACACGAATAAAACAACATTTTCTGAAAATAAATCGTAGCTAGATCGATTTATCGCCCCCGAAATCCGTTGTATACTAAATTGTATGAAAATCGTTGGAGCCGTTTCCGAGATTCAGATTATATACATATTTTATATTAATATACAAGAATTGCTCGTTTAAAGGTATACGATTCTAATATGAAAAAAAGGTTCAAGATTGAATCAATAGCTCTGCTCTTAGTTATGAAGATTTAGTTTAGAAAGAATATAAATTAGAGGTTATTGTATTTACTACGAACCGAAAATATGACAGTAGTGGTTATTTCGAGAGAGCAGTCACATTTATGTACTCTCTCTCTCTCTCACCTTCTCTCTCTCTCTCTTCCCAGCTATTTATCCCACATGGTGGTAGGTTCAGCTTTCCTCACTTTACTCCTCCACTTCGCTCTGTCTTTGACATCCTCGTCACCAACATTGCATTCCCTTTTGTCCTTCAGCACTACATCCTTCCACCTTGTCTTGGGTCTATTATATTAACAGTCATGTACGTATATTCCAATTCATGACCGAACAGCCTCTTATCAAGTACGATAATTTGACCTTCGCAATGCTATCACAATGTATCAAGAGACAGACGGAATACACTATCATTATGCATCACATCACCTGTATCCTGTCGTTGAGTCTCAAAAACCATCGGACATAGGAAATGACTCCATCGCAATCACTTATGAATAGCTTAACAAAAACATGGCCAAATACAGAGAGAGCCTACAGTACAGGTATGAGACTTATTTATAAACAAGATGATGTCATCATGTAAATGCATGATACACATCAGTGGCTGAGTGGATTTTTATTGTGGTATCATTTGGTTTTATCTGTATCTTTCTGTTCGACGTCGAATAAAAACTATAATGTTTTCACCCCACACCGGTCTGTAAATTTGTGCATTATAAATTACCGAACGCATTTCGATTCCTTTAAATGAGAATTTTCGGTGATATAATCGAAGATTCGGTATATTTCCGATCTGATATTGGTTCCAGTAAATTTATTATTACGAAATCACGAAAATTTTTGCAATTTTTATGTGTCCAATAAAACATATTAAAATAATTAAATGGAAAAGTGACATACAAACTGGCAATACCAAAATTTTATTTCTATTTTTACGTAAAACTTTTCTGTAGGAATTCATGGAATTATTACAATCATATTTTTAGAACTTACTCCTCAAAAATCTCTCCTCATCCGTGCTTCTTTTTTACATGTGAGCATAACACAGAGAGTAGATAGAATAGAGAGTAATAGTATGTTTTAACTCTTTTTATGTATTTTACAAATGTGTGTATTATAAAAATATTAATTAGTTTTTAATACGCTTTTATTAGCTTCAGACGTATATAAGTTAGTATGTAACGGAATCTTTGAACGTGATTTTGATCCCCTACAAAACGTCGGATTAACTCGAAATTTGATATACTTATTAAGGACCGATGAAAATTCAATATTTAAAAAAAATGTAAAAATTGAAATTCAACTAAAAAATTAAAAATTAACTTTAATAAATTTATTTAAAAAAAACCGTGGGGTGCATGGTATCAGTAGTTATAAATATTTTATGGATTAAGGACCGATGAAAATTCAATATTTAAAAAAAATATTGAAAAAATGGAATTCAACTAAAAATGAAAAATATCTAAAAAATTTAATGATAATATCCTGAAAAGCACCCCACGCTTTTTAACAATAAAATCATTTTTTCATATACTATTTTTAATTCAAATTTATTTTCTATTTTTTAGTTGGATTTTCTATAAAAGCGTATTTTGTTAGTTTTTTAAAACTATTATTTATTCATTTGTTGATCTCAGGTCGCGTAAAAAAAACACTGTTGTTGAAACTAAACGCGGCCACCTGTTTTAGGTTAATTGACAAACTAATGACAATAACTACCAACACAAGTTAAAATTTAATCTTATAAAATGATAAAGTTCGAAGAATATTCGCGAGTAACAATTTACTATACTGAGACCTTAGAACTTAATATCTCAAGGCTCCAGTAACCGCTTAACACCAGGTGGGCTGTGAGCTCGTCCACCCATCTAAGCAATAAAAATAAAAAAAAATAAAAAAATCAGATATGAACAAACAAACAAAACGATTTTCGCATCATGCGACTATTGTAAACGTGTAACCATTTTTTTAGTCCTTCGTTGTTAAATATAAAGTGCTTTAAGATTCCAATTTGAAGTACTGTAAAAACGTTAATGCTTTAACTATGCTTTAGGAATTATCGATCGCTTTGTTGGTTAGTGATTCCCTTATGTGTGGCATTTGGGTTGGTTACTTTTGATTACTGTGTGCTTAATGCGAGTTTTTGAACGTTCCTAATAGCGTAAAAGTTAACTCAAATTTGCATGTGGAACGTATGCCTACGTTTGCCGCTAGGGGCGCTGTTCCAACTGCATACAAAATTTGAGTTAACTTTTACGCTATCGAGAACGTTAAGAAACTCGCACTAAGCACATTGGTTGAAGCCAGTTTCTCTATATATATAGGCCTGCTTGTACTTGCCTAAAATGTGTAAAGTTTCCTGAGTCCTCTTGAGAGAAAATCTTAGATCTAAAAAAGGACTTCCACTGAATTTGGTGATTTTTTTTTAAAGCGGGCGTCGGTATTGTTATATTCGTGGCTCCAGACGTCTTTGTTGGTATAAATGAACAGAGCTATGAGATCGATGACTCAATTAATTTGGAATACCAGCTGACATACGACTAATTCGTAACGCTTTAGTAAGATAACTGGTCAACCCAACTGCTCGAGCTATTTCAGGGTATACCTATACATCGAGGGGTAAAATACTGTTTGGTTTCACGTAATACTCGACAATTTTCTTTGTATTTAAAGATCCATTTTATTTGATAATAAAATCAACAGTTCAATGTTTTTAATTGAACTTCAATTATTTTATATATTTATTGTTTAGATGGGTGGACGAGCTGGTGGTGTTAAGTGTTTACTGGAGCTCACAGACATCTACAACGTATATGCCGCCACACACCTTGAGATACGAGTTCTAAGACCTCAGTATAGTTAAAACGGCTGCCCCACCCTTCAAACCGAAACGCTGCTTCACGGCAGAAATAGGCAGGGCGGTGGTACCTATCCGTGCGGACTCACAAGAGGTCTTACCACCAGTAGAATTAATTTTACTCCAGTTAAATAGCTGAAGTTTTTCTGTCATTTTTTTTTCAAATTTTATACTCAAATAAAAGGCTATTCTGTAAAGTTGCAAAAATTGCGCTAAAACCAAATAGCATTTTACCCCTCGATATAAATTTAAATACAATTAACCTTACACCTTCCGTCTTATTTATTAAGCTATAAACATTTCATTCCTTACATCAAAGATTAACATATTGTTTCTTTGTTACAGTCAACAAAGGTTGAAGCCCCCGCTGTCTGTAACAGCTGCGACAAAGTGATTCAAGGCAGAGTAAGTATAGAACAGAAATTAACTACATCTCATAGTTTACTGCAGACGAGTGCGCCGCCATGATTCAAATATAAAGCCATTAACAATGTTAATACATTGCTAACGAGTTTGCCAGCTATTTAGCACGTGAACATATGTAGCTTTATATTATTACTAGCTGTACCCGTCCGCTTCGCTGGGCATTTAAAATTAACAGTATTATTTCTCACCCCCACAAATATTCTCATCATCAACGCCCCCGCAACTGGTGTAGGGAGTCCAACACTCATATAAATATTAGCCTATCCATTACGTACATGTATTTTCTACATGGATACCAAGTTTCAAGTCAATCGGATGCACGGTTCAGTAGTTATAACGGAACATCACAACGAATCATGTTATCCGAATCATAAATATTATGTCTACCTTCAGATCTAAAAAGGCACAGTCCTGAGAAGAACCGGCGAATACCAAACTAAGCGGCCTTGTCTTTGATTGAAAAAAATAACTTTTTTGGATGAATTTCATTGATCCAAAAAAAAACCAAAGCTAATGAAATAGTTTGGAGCGCGCCCTTCCTCGTGTGCTCCTTATTTACCCAGTAGTTACGATAATCTTTGTAAGAACATTGCTTAATAATCTAGTTAACCAATATTACCGTATATTTCATTTCACTCCATAATATCATTTTTCATAAAATTAAGAATATAAGACATGACTTAAAGGTCTCAGTTACCAAGTCATAAAATCTCTTAAAAAAAAAAGTATATGACTCAAAAATAATTGGAATTGAGTAATCGGATGATTCGATTTTATCATCGTGCTACGGCACCTCTGTAGCGGCTTTCGGTCCTTCGTCCCAATTCCTCATGTGTTTACCGTTGCATTTATCCATACTATCTTTCTAAATATTGTGTACAAACTCAGCACTTTGTCTTGTTTAGTCGTGCGCACATGGCCTATGTTGCAAGCCAGGTTTTGTTTCTTTTTACTTGTGTTTTTTATGTATTAGCTTGTGATGTGTATTGTGTGCCAAATAAATTCAATAACATAAAAATAAATAAAATAAATAAAAAACATATCTGCCCTGTACATTCCGGCTCTGCAATAACCCCTGCTGGTGCCCTATAACATAATATTCTTCGAAACAGTTTTAATAGAACTATATCTCGGTACGCAGCAGATTAATTATATATCTGGCATTGTCAACTTTCATGGTTGATTGTGACCACTTAACATCAGGTAGAACCTATACTCGTCTGCCACCGATGTCGTTATTTTTTTCGATCTGGTGACAAAACTTATCTAGTATTTGCATCGTCTTTGGCAGTTGGACCATGTACCATCCGGCTATGGAATGCGATCCTCTTTACGGTATTTCCCGAGCGCTTTGACATATTTTTAGGCAGCGGGTTGACTCTGCCTCTGGCATTGCTGACATCCATGGGTGACGGTAACCACTCACCATCAGGTGGGCCATACGCTCGTCTACATATAAGGACAATAACAAAAACTATATTTACATCCAAAATTATATATGTCCATATAAACTTATCGCCCTTGCAACGTCCGCATTGACTTCGGAAACATTACATTTCTGTCCATTAATGTACCCGCGATAAGCTATCACTCCCGGCTCGTTCACACAGATATCGAGTTATTGCATTAATGTATTATCAGTGATAACGTAAAGTTGATAAGTTACATGTGACGTATGTTACAATGGTATAATCTAAACAGTATCAAAAAACACAAAAATGTATGTCCGCTCCGTTGACAACATCTTGCTAATTTGTACTAAGCGATTTGTCCAAATGGAATTTATTCATTGTAGGGATATTTTGATAAATATTATTTAATAAATAAAATTATAATGACTTACATATATCAATATATAAAATGTGCCCATCGTTTACTACCAGCACACTACCTGCCATGTGTTCTGACACATTTCCAAAAGTATCAACAACAATTGTGTCGCATTTGAAGTCATCGGATAAGAAATGTTCAAACGCACGGGTCACGCACCAACAAACATTTGGTGATGACTACAAGGAAAACTTCCACGTTTTCAGTTTTTCTATTATCGAATCTATACGAATATATCAATCTACAGTGGTTTTTACGGATGTTCCGATATAACTACTGAACCATGCATCCGATTGACTTGAAACTTGGTATTCATGTAGAAAATACATGTACTTAATGGATAGACTAATATTCATATGAGTGTTGGACTCCCTAATGATAATGACAATAAATATTAATGTTAATTTTAAATGCCCAGCGAAGCGGGTGAGTACGGCTAGTGATGTATAGATCTATAACTTCAACAGTCGCTTAAATTCATAGAAATCAAAATTCTGTCCGCCCGCACTAGAAAATCCACAGACTAACTATCCGCTCACTCTTACTAGGGCTAGTGTTAGCAAAGTCGCCCGGCTTAGCCTCTTGATATCGCTCACATGTCCGTGGAAGCTAGGATAACCCTTCGAGGCTCGAAAACCATTCAATATGAAGAAACTAATATTATAACTATGTAAATTTATTGAAGAGAAATTGAGATCATTTGAATTAACTTTTGAAGTGAAACTTCTTTATCGGCGTTGGAAAAAAAATTTCCGTCACATTTTTCGGTTACGCGTCACATTTTTCCGTTACGCGCCATCTTTTTCTTGCCCCTACCACGGTTGGTTCAGACGAAGAGTACTTTCACTTTCTCCAACGGAGTAGGGATAGCATTAATGTTTCACTTCTTACGTGTGTACACTAGTACACGCACACATTTTTTTTATTTATTTACTAGTTAAATATCGTAGGTCCTCACAGTAGGTGCCAGAAGTCTATTTGTTGATGATCTCGTTTCCTTTATAAAAAAAAAATGTGTGCGTGTACTAGTGTACACACGTAAGAAGTGAAACTTGTTTATGGCCTTATTTTTCGAAAAATGATCTACATGCAACTTTCTAGAAATTGGTTAAATAAAGTTAAATTAGATAAAGTTTAAACAAAAGGATTTTATTATCATAGACATGAATACAAAAAAGATGGCGCGTAACGGAAAAATGTGACGCGTAACCGAAAAATGTGACGGTAAATTTTTTTCCAACGCCGATAAGGAAGTTTCACTTCAAAAAAATATTTGCGTGTACTAGTGTACACACGTAAGAAGTGAAACTTGTTTATGGCCTTATTTTTCGAAAAATGATCTACATGCAACTTTCTAGAAATTGGTTAAATAAAGTTAAATTAGATAAAGTTTAAACAAAAGGATTTTATTATCATAGACATGAATACAAAAAAGATGGCGCGTAACGGAAAAATGTGACGCGTAACCGAAAAATGTGACGGTAAATTTTTTTCCAACGCCGATAAAGAAGTTTCACTTCAAAAATTATAAACTCTTATGTTTTTTTATAGACACATGCTCTATTTTTTAGTAGACACGCTATTTTTTTTATACGTATAGCAATCTTTGCTTTTGCCATTCCACTTCACATCAGACAGGCCGCGAGTTCGTCTGCCCAGCTTTAGAAACAAAAAAAATCGCCTGCCAAAATTTCACCAAGTTTCTCTTGTATCGCAAACAAACTAATTTCTTTTAAAACTTTACATTATCGTTAACGCCTACGTACGTATTCTTAGAACAATTCAAAATACCTAAGTTCATATAAATAAAATTAGTACGTGCCAAATATATGTTCTGATTATAGTGAGATACACAATAAAAAAGAGATTCGCCACCGAATATCTCGCCCAGAAACCCAATTCTAAATATTTTTATAGATTTACACAGTGTAAAAAATGTGAAGTGCTCACGGCGGAATAATGAAGGCGCCCGGCGTACCGATATCCTCACTATGAACTTCCGCGATGAAGGAATGCCTTGCTAGTTGCGCAGTTACCGGTTTCTTTAGAGAGGTCAAGTCGCGTTGTGAGCCAAGTATGGACATGCCGCTTTTTTTTTCTTTTGCTGTAAGATCACGCTTTTCTGCTTGTAAGGGCAATCTTTGTTCCGAAATTTGAGTTATTAACTCACGATATAAATAGTGTAAGTGATTTACGTAGCTTCCTTTTTTTCCCCTACATATGCTGATAACCTTGAGAGGCTATTTCAGCTTCACCCTAACGTGTGTAGGTGAGTTCACGGGGCTCAAACCGGAGTGTTGCTAACACTGACCCTAGCAAGAGCAGTGCTTCGCAGAATCTACCACCGGATCGGAAACGCGACCCACTGAGAAGATCCCGCTAGAAACTCAGTAGATACTGCTGCTCACATTAATATGTCACATATGACTTCAATACAAACTGAAACGCATGGATTTCGTGGTGCACATAGACTGGACAATGTTCGCTAAGTGCACAGGCCAAGCCAGAAAGAAATTAACCAAAGCAGTCTCAACCAAGACTGTGCACAGTAAAACGTACTACTGCGAGACTGATACACTAAAACACGTGCTTTGTATTTTTACTCGGTATTCGGAAATAGCCGGGCTCCGTCACTCTGCGATCATCACCTCGTTTCAACGTTTCACTCGCGTAATTACTAAAATACTCTCGCCATGACCTTACCATAAGAATATTTCATATAATATTAAGAGGGAAAACAAAGTGGAAAGTTCCCAGTTCAACTGCTTTTTTTTTCTACCTATGCTGATAGCCTTGAGAGGCTATTTCAGCTTCACCCTAACGTTTGTAGGTGAGCTTACGGGGCTCAAACCGGAGAGTTGCTAACACTGACCCTAGCAAGAGCAGTGCTTCGCAGAATCTACCACCGGATCGGAAACGCGACCCACTGAGAAGATCGGGTTCAACAAGGACGGTGACCGGTGCTTGTGGTGTTCAACTGTGGTGCTCGCGTTGTGATATCTACATATTTACATTTTCTCTCATATCCTTAATCGTAAAATGTAGATATAGCATCTGTCAAGTTATCGCCGCTGTCACCAACCTCATTTCAAAAATATCCAACTTAAACCTAAAATCGACACTAAGTCGTAATAATTCTTCTCTATTTCAACAGATCGTGACGGCGCTGAACAAGAAATGGCATCCCGAGCACTTTGTCTGCAACACCTGCCGTAAGCCAATCGATGGAGCCAAGTTCCACCAGCACAACAACGGTGTCCATTGCGTGCCCTGCTTCACCAAACACCACAGCCCGCGGTGCCATGGATGCGGCGACCCCATCACTGACGTAAGTGATGCCTTCACAATATCAAACTTGATATTTTTTTTATTTTTATTTCTTAGATGGGTGGATGAGCTCACAGCCCACCTCGTGTTAAGTGGTTACCGGAGTCCATAGACATCTACAATATAAATGCCGCCACCCACCTTGAGATATGAGTTCGAAGGTCTCAGTATAGTTACAACGGCTGCCACGCCCTTCAAACCGAAACGCATTAATTACTGTTTCACGGCAGAAACAGGTGGGGTGGTGGTACCTACCCGTGCGGACTCACAAGTGGTCCTACCACCAGTAAGGAGACGATCATTGGATGGCCTCACTGTCTGCATGAGGGGATGTGACAGCAAATAGCAGAAATAAAACTTATTAGAACTCCACGTCGCTCCAATATCTAAGCTTTTTGAGGCTTGTGGAGAGTATTAAGCGGTAGGCAGCGGCTTGGCTCTGCCCCTGGCATTGCTGAAGTCCATGGGCGACGATAACCACTCACCATCAGGTGGGCCGTATGCCTACAAGGGCAATAAAAAAAAAAGTATCCGAATCACTTTGGAACAAAACCTGAATTAGATTAAAGGGCGCTTTTAGAAATACGGTCACAGTATCACAGTATGGCATATCGTCATCCCGTCTCGATTAGTACATTATTATACGATTGGCAGCTTCTATTCAAGAGAATTTGCACTCTAGTTATTCCGGTATATAAATGAAGAGAGCTATGTGAACCAGTAGGATGATATTGGCGACATTGAATGCTACCTAACACATTATATTACATAAAATTTAATAGCTTGATTAAGGTTTTCCACGTTTAGGCTAGATATAGGAATTAGACAGAAATAAATTTATTGTATTATAATAATACTAGCGACCCGCCCTCGCTTCGCTTCGGAAACATTAAAACACACATGAAACAAAAAAAATAAATAAAAAAAAGTAGCCTATGTTCATCAGGGACAATGTCGGCTTCTAATGGAAAAAGAATTTTTCAAATCGGTCCAGTAGTTTCGGAGCCTATTCGAAACAAACAAACAAACAAATCTTTCCTCTTTATAATATTAGTAAAGTTTTTTTTTTTTTTTTTTTATTTCTTAGATGGATGGACGAGCTCACAGCCCACCTGGTGTTAAGTGGTTACTGGAGCCCATAGACATCTACAACGTAAATGCACCACCCACCTCGAGATATAAGTTCTAAGATCTCAGTATAGTTACAACGGCTACCCCACCCTTCGAACCGAAACGCATTACTGCTTCACGGCGGAAATAGGCGGGGTGGTGGTACCTACCCGTGCGGACTCCCAAGAGGTCCTACCACTAGTAAAGATTTATTACGTATTGTAATTTTTACATGGGAAAACCTTCAGCATGCTCTCTCAGTCCAATAATTTATGCCCTGTAATAATTAAACCGTTTGTCTTCCTTAAATGAATTAATAATAACTAGACGATGACCGAGCTTTTTTTTTTTTTTTTCCTACCTATGCTGATAGCCTTGAGAGGCTATTTCAGCGTACCCTAGCTTGTGTAGGTGAGCTCACGGAGCTCAAACCGGAGAATTGCTAACACCGCCCTAGCAAGAGCAGTGCTTCGCAGAATCTACCACCGGATCGGAAGCGCGACCCACTGAGAAGATCCGGCGAGAAACTCAGTGGGCTGTGTCTGTGGGTTAATTCGCTCGTCGAGCCCTTCGCGCAAGCGACGGGTTCGACGAGGACGGTGACCGGTGCTTGTATTGCCTAAAAGCACCGTTAATGGATCAGGGGGATCCGTGATGACGTGCTTTGGGCGACGTCGACGGTTTACCAATCGGTCTACAGGATCGGGTATGTAGTTTCCGGCGGCCACGACAAGAGGGTTCTCATGTCGTGCCGTCTTCTCAAAGTGGCGCAGCGATGCCGACTGTAGATACTTACTGACGGGGTCGAGCTCCAGGTCATCGTGGAGGTCCACGTTCCTCTGGAACCATGATGCTCCGACGGCTATCCTGCAGAATCGGGATTGTATAACCTGAAGGGGTTTCAAGTTGGTGCGGGCCGCGTGAGCGAACACTACGCTTGCATACGTCATGACGGGGCGTCTGCAAGTTTTGTAGAGGGTTACCTTGTTACGGAGGGACAGTTTGCTTCGTCTACAAAGCATTGGGTAGAGTCGTCCTAGTATAAACGCGGCGCGATCGCGTACCGTTTTTACGTGGGGACGGAATGTCATCCCTCTGTCGAGGGTGACGCCTAGGTATTTGACCTTCG